CTGCTGGAAAGCTGACCACCTATCATAGACAGACAAGGAACTAGGGGATACACCAAGGGAACAGAGCCTCATATTTACATTTCATCTCGGGAGACTCGACTAGATAAAGGCCACAAGACTCAGTGGGGAGCCTAACTTCAGATAGAGACAGATTGTTTGGGTCAGGCTGGTTGTTAAATTATTTCTGCCAGCCGTCAGTGTTTTTGCTGGAGTCTCATCATAGCAAAACCCAATAGAATAGATTTTGTGTTCCACTCCGCCAAGATCCAAGCTTACAACTTTCTCCAAGATTTTACCATTTCACTTCGGAGTCCAGGAACCGCAGCCAACCTGCGATCCTGTGCAAGGATCACATCCAGTTTATGGTTCTGGTCCCTTAACATCTCAGGCTGAGTTTGATAGCTCTGCAGATCCCCTCATACATGCTGGGCAACCTGACAATGGCCAAACCGGCCCCCGTGTCTTCTGAATTTCACAACATGCCAGGTATCCACCAACTCCTAACATTAGAAATCTTGTTATCAAACATCCAAATATGTATCCATCTTCTACGTCCTTCATAGACAGGCACAAAATCTTCCACTTCTGCCACAAAGCCATTGTGTACCCAGAGAAAAAGGTAACGCCTGCACAGGAGGGTTCCCCGTTGCCTGTCTTCGTGTAGAAAAAATGTGATCAATTGCATTGAGAAACCAGCTGACCAGAACTATAAGTCAGTTTGTAGGTTTTGGGAAGCTATGTGAAGAGAGGCTTCAATAAAAGACAAGAAACAGAGCTAAGCAGGGTAGACAGGGAAGGGGAGACGGAGAAAAAACAGCCTCATCCACCGACAGCCTAGTCAGAAAAGTAAAATATATTGCAAAGCAATGCACTTAATTTTCAATCAGCTAATTTTGTCGATATCCTAGTCTTTATAAACGTATTTAAAAATGCATTCTCCCATTGTAATGTTTCTGTATAATAAATGGTCTACAGCTTTTCGAACTTTCTCAACGATTACATCATCTAATGATAGAAAAAAGGAACGGAAAGTTGACTTTCTAAACCTTGGTAACAAAAGGAGCATATCTTAAAGTTACACCGAGTTTACTCATAAACAAAAACTACGTGCTAGAATGAATCATGAATTACTGAACTGCAAAGGAAGAACATGAGAGTATTTCAACAAGTGTTACCACTTTTACCAGATCGCCTTACTGCAAAGTTGAAAACTAGGAAGCTAGCTTACATTGTATAGAAATAATGGCTCTGGATGCTGATATTTAATTGTTCAGTAGCTTTTATTTGTCCCAGTATGGGCAATTTTGTGCAGTAGTAGTACACCTTTCACACACATGTTCACATTTCACAAATCACAGATAAAAATAAAAGAAGCACAAGAGACACATAAATATTTAAAAAGATAAAAGTAAGGTGGATAAAAGAGACAGAAATGTAAAAAAATAATAAAAAGTAAATAAATATTTGCAAATGAGAGCATAGGCCTGAATGGATGCAACATATGGCTATCTGCTTTTCCTGGTAGAGTTTAACAGCTGAAGAGCTGTGTTGCCCCAGCTTTGCATATTGATGGTGCTGCAACAACCTGGAAAATATTTGTGTGATCGGACTGAATAAGGAAATTATGCAAATGATAGAAATCAACCAGGTCTGAAAAAGGTGCCATTAAATAGTTATTATGGTTTATTTTCAAATATTTATGACACTCGAAATATGTGGTTATCCCTTTTGACTCAGGGGGAAGATCCATACTCTTGGCCGATGTTTATAAGCTACCCACCACCCCCCTGCTATATTCTAAACCTTCAAGATTTTCAAAATAACACAAAAGGTAAGAGATATACCAATTTCACCTTCTCTTTTTTATATCTTTTTCCTTGCTGTTTCTTTCATTAAACCATATTTAAGCAGTATTACGTTCTCTTTTTTACTAAGAGGGAATACTGTTTTCCTTTTACATAGAGAGCGAGATTGGTGCATTTCTGGCTTCACCGAAAGAACCAAAGAATGAGGAGAACTGGTTAGAAATCTGCCAAAGACATTTCTGCGAAGACATATCAAAATCCAACACTCTGTCTGGAAAGGGTAAGTTACTACATCTCTTTATTGTCTTCCATCCAGTAGGTACTGAGGTGATACTAAGCGCTAATAGTTTAGTAACTTCACTTACAATAAAGCCAGCATACATCTATACTGAAAACTTTTGTTGCATAACAAACTCAAAAAGAGGACTAGATAGGTCACCTCTTTTTTTCTAATTTATTCAGTACTTTGTAGACTGACCTTTTACTGCTCTGCCTGAGTTTCAGGTTATGCAGCTCTGACAAATTTGACCCGTCTTAGCTTCAGACATCCAACTCTGAATCTCACCAGTTTTGCCTTCTCTGCTGATAACGATTATGTATGAAAATGACAAAAAACTGTTCTATAATTTATATTTCAGTTTATTGGTTCAGCAGCATCAGGCTCCATCAAATTTAAAAATAGCGGTTACCAACTCTAGTTCCTACTGAAACGGTCATGATCTTGAATTTTTTGGTTAAGCTTACTCTGAAGTATTTCTTTGGGTTTCCATTATTTGAAATTAAAATGGTTTTTAATGAGTTTATGATATTTTAACAAAGAATCCAAAACTTTAAGAGGCAGTATGAATCACATAAAGTTCATACAAACGTCATGCATAGAATGGCTGTGATTACAGCAACTTTTTTTTTTTTTACCATTGCATTTATGCATCATCCCTAAATTTGTTCTGGAGGTGAAATATACATGAGCTTCTGTCAGAAATACAAACTGGTTGTCTAAAACCAAAAGCAGCATATTTGGTAAATTTTTCAGAGCAATTGCTATTTGATACCAAGTCTAAATCTATAAAAACTGAAATAACACATAGAAATAAGAAACTTTTTCTCAAATGTTTTTAGAAGATTCCCTCTTGTTTCTTTTCAAAAGTTAAATTCATTCACATCGCTTTAGGTAGGTTGATTATTTGTATCTGCTCTCCTGTCGAATCTGAAAAGATTTTTACATTTGTACCCACAGATAGAAATGAACAGAGAATAGCGACAACAAATAAGCTACTCTACAAGGCCTGAAAATTATTGCCAAGAATGTTCTCAAAGCCAAAATGCGTAGTACAGTCCACAAAGGATTACCTACAACTTTAAAGATCATGTTATTAGTACTATCTCACCACTTGGCTTAGAGTTTGGGTCCATTTCTATTCAGCTTATCTGTACTAACTCTAGTTGGTACTGTGGAAATAAAGCAGAGTAAACATAGAAAATGAGAAGTACCCTAGTTCCTGGAAAAGGTTCCTGGCTTGGAAAAATAGGGTGTGTTCGATTTCAGCGGCTGCATCCTCCAAGGACCTGTGCTACCTGGACTGGGTCCTCGGAGGGCTGTGAAACTAAGAAGGCCAAAAAAGTTATGTTAGCTATGGATTCAAACAGGTCCAACCTTCTCCGGCTTTCACCGCTTGTACTGTCTGTCGCCTAGCAACCATGACAATTACCACAAAGGAGGCAAAGAATGCATGCCGAAATTCTTACCATTGTTCTGTGTGCTAATTACATTTTTGAGGAGCTTCAGCAACAGTAACGTCATTGTGAATTTCAGATTTATAGTCCCCACACTGCAGATATTAGAATATATCCTTAAATGTCTTCCAAACCCATTTACTCAGGGACAGATAAAACCTATCAAAAAACAAAACATTAACCCGCCACATATCTGACCCAATAACCATTAAAAACAACTATTTTCATTAATTTCAGATGGAACTATTCATGCTCTTGTATTGTAATAAAATGCGCTTAGAGTATTCATCACAGTTCGGCGCCATTTACTAGTGATGTTATGAGATGAGCCGAGGCTTCGGGGCGTGTGTTGAGTAATGGAGGGGGCGTTTCCCCGAAGCGCGTGTCGAGACGTGATTCATTTAGAGGAGGGGCCAAAAGTTGATGACGTCCGAGGCCTCGCTACCGTAAGACCACGTGACCGCTTCGGAAAGTGGTTCAGAATGCGCAAGAATTTTGAAAGGCATCTAAACAGCCTCAGTGTTTAGTCAAGATGTGGGAGTTTGGAGGAGAGATGCTCTCAGCTGGATAAAGTTTGGATAGATTCTAATTATAGATTGGTTGGAAAAACAACCAATCTAGTTGCTAATTTGGTTAGAATAAACAATGTAATGATCAAAATTTGAGCAAACCACCAGACAAAGCCCGCGTTACAACGTCAGTGATAAGAAGTATTTTCTCCTGTGTTAGATTATCTACATAGGTGGTGTCATCTGTAAGTCAGGCTCTCACTCTAGAAGTTGTTGGTTCAAGACCTGTCTTTGGCTTTTGAAAATTTCGATTACACTTAATTATTTTGGCTGATGAGACTAATTTGCATTGTTTTGCCCAAGTAAAAATATAGATTGGGTAAATTAGGTCGGTTTAGCCAAAAGTTTGGTTGAACACAACTTCCAACCTGATTAAAACCAAAAAACATGGAAAAAACTATCATGTTTGAATAAAAATTACTAACACCTTTCATTTTGCTCATCATTGCCTAATTTGCACAAACGCTTTCACTGTCTGCTTGAGTTTATTTCACTATAATGGCAGAAAAACGGTGCACCTTAAATTATTGTTCTAAGAAATTTTACACTTAAAAAAATTTACAAAAGATTTTATTATACACACCAACCATTAATAATTTCAAGGGAACTTAAAAGGGGAAAAAAAGAAAAACAGTTGCAAAAAAAACAAAAAAATCACAGATTTTATTACAAACTGTAGTTCTGCACTCCACCAGTAGGTGGTGACATGTTCACATGAAGCCTCATGAACTGTGGGGATCGTTGAAGCAATTTGGCCAAACGGTGCAATGCCTCATGAGGCCTCATCTCACCATCACTACCATTTACCTTTTTCTTCTGAGCACGCAGCAGCCAGTTTGCTTGGGCTCGCAATGAATAATCGGATACCCAAGGCTATGTAGGATACACTGGACCTGTCCTTCTAAACGGACAAAAAGGAGTCTTCCAATACGAACAGGCCTCGGTGCTGCGCTATGGAGTGCTGGGCCAACAAATCTGGCCATAGGAAGCAAATCTGGCCATAGGAAGCAACAGCCACTGGATTTAATCTCAGCAATGGTCTCATTAAAGCAGGGGTGCCCAAGTCCAGTCCTCAAGAGCTACCATCCTGTAACTTTTAGATGCATCTCTTCCCTAACACACATGAATTTAAAAGCTCAATCCCCTCATTAAGCTCAGCAGATGAGTGGTAACGAGCCAATCATTTGATTCAGGTGTGTCAAAAATGGGGCACATCAAATGTGGCAGGGTAGTAGCTCTTGATGACTGGACTTTAGCACCCCTGCTCTAAAGTGTTGCTTCATTTACCTTACAGTTGCTTTTATGTAAATATAAAATCTGCTATTTGTATTTCCTCAGACACATTAATACTATTTGGACAGTTTAAGTCAAAGCACTAAAAATAAACATAAAAATTAAGTTTTATGACATAGTATTGCTTTAACCCTAGACCTGATTTAACATAGTGTAAATGTTGGAGATATTTTTTTCTGAAATGAAATACAGCCATGTTGTTGATTTATGTTTTATTTATGGTTCACTCTACCATAAGGAGGAAAAAAGGTTGTATGATGAAAATAAGAAGGAATTGCTTCTCACACTTTAAAAAAAAACTTTAAGAAAATACAGCGTGAGTCAGCTTCTGTTTCTAATCTTCCTAAGGGGAATGTAAATATTTCAAATGTACAAATAAATCCATACTAATGCACTGAATCACAGCGCCTGTGTTAGTATATATGAACTGCTGATGGCTTTTATTTTAATGCATTTGTGCCACACACTCTCCCCACAAAGATTACAGAAATCCAAAGCCCACATTCACATTTAATAACTCATCACCGCTGTCATTGACTGACGCTTTTTAAATTGCACCTACGCTTATTTTTCTTATATAGGAGTAAATGGTCCTGATTGACGAAAGACAAAAATACATTCAAATGAAGCATTGCAGAAAACCTGATTACGCCTTTCATCAGTACACTTTGGAAATTGCCTACAGAATCATCCACTCTGCTCTCTGGGGCTCATTTGAGTCTTTTCATAGGAAAAAAAAAAAGAGATGAACAGGATTTATTATCTCCTAAGCTTCCCTCAGCTGCAGCAATAATATTCTGTTTGACATGTCAATAACCACACAAAACTTGGTTCTTTCTTTTTAAAAAGCGCTCAATAAAAGGAAATTGTTACATTTAAGGTTTGACTTCCACATCAGCTAAATATCTTAAATAATATACTTTTTAAAAATCCATTTCTTCCTGTTTTTCTTTTCCTGCTGGGAGACAGAAATGTTTCACTATAGCAGCTCTTCATCAAGACTGTTTGAGCTGTTTCATGTTCGCTACCTCTCTCTCTTGTCAGTGTATTGATTCTTTAATTGGTCTCTTGCAACAGCATATCAATAAGATGCATTCAGTCAAGCTCACATTCACTGACTGGCTTCTGCTAGCGGTTGTGATCATCAGCCTCTGTCTTCTAAGCTGACAGATGGGGAAATGATTATCATTATGCTTTTCTGTGTTTACAAAATATCCTGCAATTCATTTATATGTTTATTTAGCAGTGTCAGAATAAAGGCCCACCTGCCACCCTATTTCCAGCCTGCAGATGAAAACAATTATGCAGATATACCTTCCTACTATCCTGATTTGCAACTGATTCATCAATCATGTAACAATTTAGCAAAACATACATGTATGTTATCTTAAAAAAAACCATTTGGTTCCCTACACATGTGGACGAAACATTTGATACCCCTTATTTAATGAAAGAACTCTCAAAATGGCCACAGGTATGACTTAAATCTGACAAAAGTAAAAATGACGATTAGATAAATTCTGTGAAAATAAGCTTTTCAACCATGCTTCAACAGAATGATTTAAAAAAACTTGTGAAACAGAACTGGACAAAGATTATGGTACCATTACTGTAACTTAATATTTTGTTGCACAACATTTACAGGCAATCACAGCCACCAAACGATTCCTGTAACTGTCAGTGAGACTTCTGCTCCTCTCAGCAGCTATTCTAACCTACTCCTCAAGAATAGATGCTGTCAGAGTCACTTATAGGCAATTATATGACGAAATGATGCCTTCAACACTACAGAGGTATTAATTTGGTATGTAATATAGTTGTTTTTTTACCCAAAGAAAAGCACTTGAATCTGCCTCTCCCTGTGTGGATGCCATTTCATGACGTCTTTGTATCACACCACTGCTGAGGCCTGAAAGAAATCAGAGAGCTCTCAAGCCAAAAATACAGATTTTCACAACTAAATGGCTCATTATGCTTGATACACATTTAATGTGGAAAATGTGTGGAAAATGAGCTGCCTGTCACAGCGTCTGTCTGCAACATTTATGCTCTGTGCGGCTTTTCCCCCATTCTGGTCAGCTCCGGGTGTGCGTATTCAGCAAAAGCTGCTAGCTGACATCACCAACTACACGAGGAAGTAGAAAACACAGCTGTTTACAACTTTTCCAAAGCCTCTTTGTCGTCCAAGAGCGACAATCATTTCTTTCCAGGAGTTTTCTGTTGATAGTGGTGATATTTATGAACTAAATCATTAGACGCCTCTAGATGTTTACATTTACAAACCCTTCCAGCAGGTGCTGCTGCTCACTCACCATGTTTTCCATGAGGATCTGTTAACACAGAGGGCCGTTGGAGCCCAACATTAAGTGATTTGGCTGAAGCGACCTTGCAGACATGTATAGCAAAAACCAAGCTGTAGACATTAGCTAAGAAAAGGTTGCTGCCCTGTGCAGGTTAGCTGCTAATAGAGCCAATTGTTCTAACTTTGAGCCAGAATCATCACCCCTCCCTGTTTGGAGAAGGTGGATGTTTTTTTTTACCGTGCGGGCACAGCACAGTTAAGGTAGCTGCTTCCAGGAGGGGGCGCATTTACATGGATATTCTCCAAATGCTCATTTTCACAGGACAGGAAGGGGCTGCTGCTCCGGCGGCAGAATTCATGAGGATTACTCTGAGATGTGTGAATGAATCTATATACGACTTAATGCATTATTTTGATGAAAGCAATATACACTCACCGGCCACTTTATTAGGTACACCTGTCCAACTGCTCGTTAACACTTAATTTCTAAGCAGCCAATCACATGGCGGCAACTCAGTGCATTTAGGCATGTAGACATGGTCAAGACAATCTCCTGCAGTTCAAAGCGAGCATCAGTATGGGGAAGAAAGGTGATTTGAGTGACTTTGAACGTGGCATGATTGTTGGTGCCAGAAGGGCTGGTCTGAGTATTTCAGAAACTGCTGATCTGCTGGGATTTTCACGCACAACCATCTCTAGGGCTTACAGAGAATGGTCCGAAAAAGAAAAAACATCCAGTGAGCGGCAGTTCTGTGGGCGGAAATGCCTTGTTGATGCCAGAGGTCAGAGGAGAATGGCCAGACTGGTTTGAGCTGATAGAAGGGCAACAGTGACTCAAATAACCACCCGTTACAACCAAGGTGGGCAGAAGAGCATCTCTGAACGCACAGTACGTCGAACTTTGAGGCAGATGGGCTACAGCAGCAGAAGACCACACCGGGTGCCACTCCTTTCAGCTAAGAACAGGAAACTGAGGCTACAATTTGCACAAGCTCATCGAAATTGGACAATAGAAGATTGGAACCACAATGTACCCAACTTCTGATGGCTACTTTCAGCAGGATAATGCACCATGTCATAAAGCTGGAATCATCTCAGACTGGTTTCTTGAACATGACAATGAGTTCACTGTACTCAAATGGCCTCCACAGTCACCAGATCTCAATCCAATAGAGCATATTTGGGATGTGGTGGAACGGGAGATTCGCATCATGGATGTGCAGCCGACAAATCTGCAGCAACTGTGTGATGCCATCATGTCAATATGGACCAAACTCCCTGAGGAATGCTTCCAGCACCTTGTTGAATCTATGCCACGAAGAATTGAGGCAGTTCTGAAGGCAAAAGAGGGTCCAACCCGTTACTAGCATGGGCTACCTAATAAAGTGGCCGGTGAGTGTATAACATAGTTAAAAGCTCAAAAGGGCAGATTTTGCATGATGTAAGCCCTGTAAATATAAAATACAAATCATACAACATGGAAAAGTAGTCTTTATTCATTGATTTTAGATGTTCATTTCCTATTTTATTTCCCTGATATAGCAGAGAACTACAGGGAAATTAGCAATTAAAGCAATCTAAATGTGCATTGATACTTCTAGGGAAATGACTGCAAGAAAAAAGCTTCTCACTCTATGCTAGATAGGATGTGGATCCGAGACTGACTTACTAACACTATGGTTAAAGAAGCAAACAATGGCATTTTCCGAAGTAACATAACAATTTTCATGCTTTAGGAAATCTTGACCAAGGTTATTAATTGTGGCAACTGCTGTAAAAAAATTTTTTTTACCTGTATTATGCATCACAGCATCTTTAGACTTATCAACTTTGCTGTTCCTGACTTCTTTCTGTAGGAGGTCACTGTATTTATTTTGGTTTTCATTGTAATCCCCATCAGCATCTTCCTTGTTACATCCTCAGTGACTGTGGGTGGCTTTGTCACGCAGCTCTGTGATATACGACTCCCACAGTGATGTAGACAGGGTTTATTCAGGGACAGTTGGGGGCACTGAAGCCACAAATTGATGTGAGTGGATGCTTGCAAAGCTGACTGAACACATTGCTGAACATGTGTTTTTGCACATGAGCCCTAATTTTCAGCTTCATTTGTCAGCTTCACATATTTCCAAAATGCTTTGCTTGTATTATTTAAATGCCAATAACATATTAAATTCAAAAGTCACCATAGGGCTCATTCATGAAATGGCTGTTAATAATACAGATCAGTGTTATTTTACATTCCTTTAAGGAGTGTATGCAATATAGTCTGAATAATACATCTTCTAATCTAATATACATTATAGCTGCTTTCGCTTGTATTATTATTTATGAATCTGATTTTTCTCTACAGTGCTGGCTGACCTTCTGGAGAAAGTTGTTGCCCATCTATCCAGCTCTGCCTCAAGATGCTTCTTCTCTCCGGCTCAGTACAAAGGTCAGTTAGGAACAAACAATTTCTTCTTTCTGACAATGTTGTCAGATAAAAATCACCAAATGCCACTTCAACGTAGCCAGTAAAATAAGTCTCCACAAAACATGCTCTAGTATGTTAAATGTTGAAAAAGGTACATTAATAATAGAATTATACAAAGGATGTATTAGTACCTTTTATTGGTGTAATATTTTATTGACTCCACACTCTGCATTTGACTTTATCCCATCCCCCTCTTTGTGATCCTCCTTTTACCACAAACTCTGACTCATTAATAATCAGTGTTAACAGAGTGCGCACAATGAGCTGTCATTTTTTTTTATCTAAATTTTTTTGTAGGAGAGCATCCAAAGATCCAAGGTATAACCTATTAGATATTAGAGATATACCGATAAATTTTTTTCAGATCCAATACGATACCTGGGCTGGGAGTATCGGCCGATATCTTATACCGATCTGATTCAGCTGTTGGATGAATTACCCGTATATATTTTGTCTTATGAGTGAAACATTGTTTAAAATGTAACAAAATAACATAGATGTAAATGTACTATATGTGATTTATGAACAAATATGCTATGTAAGGTGTAAAGTGCATTTGGACGGAGCTTATCCCCTGGTTATGTGAACAGGATGAAGAAAACAAGACAGGGTTTTTACTTTCTTGAGTGGTGTTATCTACCACTGATTCATTTAGTTCATTTGTAAATTGTAAATCTCACTAACTATGAAGTAAAAAACCTGATTGTTCCTTCCTGAAAAAAAGTAATCATCACCACTTGCATAGTTGAGTGGAATTGAGGTGCAGTAAACGATGGTGAGGACATAAACTCTTTCAGGATGCCTTCCTGCTGCGCTGCTTCTTCCTACAGCTCAGCCACTCAGTCTTTAACTTCACCTCATTCAGAATCAGGTGGATAAAATCATAAAACTGTCTAATACCACAAAAGTATCTGTAGCATCAGACAATGGATATATGTTAATGTGTTTTAGTTAGGTTTTTTAAAACAGAAATCTCCATGTAAAAATATAACAGTAAAAAGAAAATTCATAAGATTATATTACAGTTCACAGGTTTGAAAAAAAAAATAATATAGAAAATCCATTAATTGTCCCACAATGCGGAAATTCTAGTGTTACAGTGGACCTTTGAAAAGTGTATAAGAATAACATAATAATGAAGAGTTAAAAAATAAACAAATAAAATACTGTACTGTAAAATGGGTTAACAATATAAATACTGTGCACCTGGGGATTAAATGACCAATATACAGCCGTGGAAATTTTTACAGTAATGGATATTTCAAAATAGCAGCAACATCAGAGATGTGCAACATGTTATTTAATTGTCTAAGATGAAAACTGTGCGAAATCAGCATTAATGTAAGAATTTATTAAGGTTGTTGGGAACAGTGGGGGTTATAAAGTCTTACAGCTGCTGGGAGGAAGGATCTGTGATAACGCTCCTTGGTGCATTTAGGGTACAGCAGTCTGTCACTGACGGAGCTCTCCAGTTCTGCAACAGCTTTATGTATGGGGTGGGAAATATTATCCAGCAGGGATGTTAATCAAGTTAGGATCCTCTTGCTTCCCATCTCCTGCACTGAGTGCAGATGGCATCCAATAACAGAGCTATTAAAATTAATATATTGGGTGAAAAAAAAAATAACGTTCCCATAAGGTTAGATTTTCAAGGAATTAAATTTCATTTAGAAGTTTGGACGATTTCATCCTGACAGAACCCGACTTTCCAGCTTATTGATTACATGTAAACTTTTATGATTTTTTTTCTTAAAGGAAAAATATTTGAGAATCGATAGTAACCAGAATCAAAACAAGAAATCTGAACCGGAATTGTTAAAATTCAAATGATGTCCATCGCTATTGAAAGAGGACATCTAGGTTTGAATTGGTCCTGGGAAGCTCAGACTAACTAAACCCCAATGTGGGGTGACTTTGTCAATAGAGACTAACATTTTTTCGGGAATCCCACGCGTCACGGGATTCCCGTGGGATGGGAGTCAGTATTAGTAACGATCACGTGATTGGGACGGTACAGGATTAAACATTAAGAGGAGCAGACAGGAGCGGGAACAAACCAATAGTAACTAAAAAAATCTAGGATCGATGCCAAAAAATAAAATAAAATGGAAAGAAAAAAAAATCCAGTACTGGCGCTGCCATTTTGTCGTTTTTTTCCTTGAAGCCTACACTATAATGCGAGTCAAAAAAACTACACGACCCAAAAACCAACAGTGCTTCCGCTCTGAGTTTTTCACCCGCGCTCAAAAACAACAATGGAGGGACCAACAGTTACTACAGTTAGAAACAGGAACTTAACTGACCCTTCATAGAAATTCAGATTCAATGTATTGGCAGAAATCTTATTGATGACAACAAGAAGTGGAGTGGTGCAGGAGCGGGAGTCATTCTGAATGGGAGTGGGAGTAATTTCACCAGGAGTGGGACGGGACAGGATTTAGATTTCTACTCTGGCCCGGGATCGGGACGGGACACAATTTTTTTCTGTGGGAGTGGGACGGGACAGGAGTGAAAATCCACTCCCGTGTCAGTCTCTTTTTGTCAATCAAGCTAATAAGACAGAGCGTTAGCTTATGTTGTCCTGGAGGCTTTCTGCTTCACTTTTGCAGTAACTGCAGCTTAGCTTTACCTTTTTTATGTTGCTCCACACAATAGGATTAAAGCATTAGCTTAGCAAATAGCAATGCTCAGGATTCATCTTTTTTTCTTTTCTCTCTGCCTTTATAAGAGAAGTTCCTCCTAGCTTAAATAGAGGGTTGCTTTTTTCTTGCTTAACTTGACAATGAACCACAGGTGGTTTCTCTCTTCATCAATGAAACACACCAAAGTTTGTGGTTTTAATGAAAAAAATTATGGAAATATGAGAGTTTTACAAGTACTTTTGCAAAATCACTGTATATTGTAACTGGATTTGTAATGTAAATTCCCTTTGGTTTACATGATACAAGGAATGCAGCTTTAAAAGATGGATGAGACTAGGAATTATGATAGTGCCTCTTTCTGTAACTGGAACGCCTTGACATCTTCTTCTGTGCTATCAGAATATTGGTGAGATTTCCCCCTGGATTTACAGACATGGGAGAAAAAACAAAAAAAAAAACATTCACACTTTCTGAGCAACTTCCTACCTCAGGTCAAAATATGTTATGCTTCACAAATCTAACAAGCAAACTGTGTCAGCAGGTTGGCTTGTTTCGTAGCCAGGGGGCTAAACAAGCTTATCAGACTGATGGTAGTCAGAAGGATACAAAGCTAATTAGTGAATACCCAGAAATGTTGGGAGCTATAATTTTTCCTAAAGGTAAAGCACTAATTGCCTACTTATTTGTCCTAATGAACCTTTATTTTACAAAATTAAAAAAAGAAAAAACATGCTGCAGTATTCTGTTAGCTTTGCATCCTGTTGGCTTTGAATTTGTCATTTTCCTGGTGCAACTTTATGTGCAAGGCCTTTATAATCAAAGCCCTATTCAATAACATCAGCCTAATGGTTTTAAGCAGCATAAACATTTATAGTGTTTTAGGTTTGAACTAGTTGAGAAGTTCATAAAATGTTAAAATATCATTGGTTCGAAGATAATTAGAAGTCCAAGCTTTATGGCCTTTTGTTTGATGGTCTTTGCTTGTTTTTTGATATTAATAATATACTTTTCTAATTTTTACTGAACATTTGTGTGAAGAAAATGTGTCTAAAAGGTGCAGTACCCTGGCCATGGAGGACTTTACCTGAAGGTCCCTGACCTATAAAAAGGACTTGTTTTTGCTAAGCTAAACATTTTCCCAAACTAAATATAGCTCAGTTTTTCTTTCTCTTTTTTGTCGTATTCGGCTCAAATTTTAAAGTATGATTTAAAAACAGATTCGGAAGAAAAAAAAGAACAGATTTAGGTAGAGAAATATGAAAACAGACACATTTTTGTTTTGGTTTTACCCTTGGAAATCTGTAGTAGATTGGCACTAAATAGGCTGCTACGTTATGTCGCTGGCAACCCCCTGGTATCTAATCCACAAAGAAAGACCATTATTTTTGATCAGATCTTTGCTTCAGTTTTTTCTAAGTTAGTTTTTCTGACCACAACATTAGTTTGAGATGGAAGGGAAAGGCAAAGACTGCAGGAAAAGGCTTCTGTGGATGTGACCTGTAAAACAACTGGAAAGTGTCCTTGGAGCTGTTGAGGCAGAATAAGCCACTTCAAGGGTTAGATTGGCTGGGGAAGACGGAGCTTTATCTGTACAGACAATCATTTATCAGAAAATCACTTCATTTCTGGGACACTGCTATATAACCTTTGAAAAAGTTGCACATGCATATATTCAAGGTGTACGTGACTTTCAAATTCACTCCATTTCTGTCAGGCTGGAATAGTTCGAACATGGTTAATTTGTACCAGTCTGGTCCCGTGTTAGAACTACATCTGATTATAAAGAGACAAAGCTGAAACTATTTCTTTCACATGCTGCAGAGATGTAAGGCAGACAAACATGTGTTGCAATCAGTGTGAGGACTGATTGTGTTTGGATTAGCAAACAGTATGTTGAAAAACCTACCAAATACTATATCCAAGGAAAATATTTTATATATCTTTATTAAATAATTGTATATTTCAATGCAATATGAAATGCCAATGGACTGCAATATTGTAAAATATTGTATTTATTGTGTCAGAAAATCACATTTTGTATATTGATATTTTGGCAGTTTGATGGAGTTGAAGTGCCCCTAATGCCCTCATAAGTGCTAGATCTTTAGTGACTGATGGTTCAAAACATTCGCAAGTAGCTGAAAAATTTGTTAACCATGATTAATATCTCAACCATCATCTCAAACACTGCAATAGATTTTTTTCCTGATAACATTCCACCCTACATATATATTAAATGCTTTGCACCTTCAAAATTGTAGCTTTTTAGCAACTTTTGAAAACATTACCGAGATATTTTAACCCATTTCTATTAAAACG